ACTTAACCGCTATGCCACGGCCCCCCCCACCCCTTGAGTCTTTAGTAATAGCTTCCTCTCATTGATCACCCTAAAGAAAAGCCTGTCAATTGACAGGTTCTGTCCATGTACACAGAGTTAGGATTCGTTTTCTTGCTCCCTCTTTTAAAAATTGTAATATTCACATAAAATTAACCATTTTAAAGTCTACAGTTCAGTGGCATGTAGTATATTCACAGTGTTGTGCAACCATCATCTCCATCTAGTTCCGAAACATTTTCATTGTCCCAAAAAGGAAACCTGGTACCCATTAGGCAGTTACTCTCGCTCCCCCTAGCCCCTGGCAACCACTAATCTGCTTTCTGTCTCTATGGATTTACCTATTCTTTATATGTCATATAAATGGAATCATGCAATATATGATGTTTTGTATCTGATTGCTTTCACTTAGCGTAATGTTTTTGAGGTTCATCCGAGTTGTAGCATGTATCAGTACTTCATTCCTTTTTTTGGTGACCCTTCGTTTTTTAATGTGAATGGCTAACCAAGAATCAGCAGACGTTTGAGGACAACACGCAAAATGAAAGAGAAACAGAAAAATGGACCTTAGCTGAAACAGACCAGTAAATAATTTTGCTTGTTTTTAAAAGCACACTATTTAGTATTCTCTAAGATAATCAAGAAGATGTGGCATCCATAAAACAATCAGAGATGCCATCGGGAAGAAACAGTCAAAATAAAAAAGAGCTCATGGAGGTGAATTATGGGTTTGCAAGTTAAAAAATATTCTGTAGATAGATCAGAAGATAAAATTAAGAAGATCTCTCAATATAAAGCCAAAATACAGGCAAAAAATATATGCAATAAGTAAGAGACATTAGAGGATCAATCTAGAGATCCAGTATCTACTAGAATTTCTGGGAAGTGAGAATAAAAAATTGAAAGGAGGAAAATATTAAAAGTATAAGGAGAAGAAATTTTCCAGAAGCTAAAGAGAGGAGCAGTCTTCATATTGAAAGGGTCTACCCATTGCCCAGAAGAATAAAGACAGACCTACTGCTAGAATTGTCACTGTGAAATTTCAGAAAAATAAGGATAGGCAGAAAACCCTAAAAGTTTCCATGAAGATATATCAGGTCTTCTAAAAGAAATGGAAATCAGATTTCTCGTCAGCAACAGTGACAACCAGAAGACAATGGAGCAATGGTCTTCAAATTCCTGAAGGAAAATGGTTTTGAACCTAGAATTCTGTCATTGCAAAATAAACTTGTTTTCAAGATGTGAAGGACTCCCGAAAGTTACTTCCCTTTTACCTTTTCTGAAGTAGTTACTTGCAGATAAAAATCAAAAAAGAGGAAAATAAAGAATTCAAGAAATGGTTGAACTAATCTAGTAGTTCATTGAAAAGTCTCATGGTGTCCTCTGTACAACAGGCCTGGAAAGCAGTCAGCCCAAATTTGAACCGAATTTTGGTGGGATCCAAGAAAAATTTATTCAGGAATAGGAAGGGGGTAGATTCCAAGCAATAGATAGAATGAAGAAGCTGGAATTGGGATACAGTGAAGAAACCATACAACTCTTTACAAGGGGCAAGGGAATTAGAATTCCCATGCAAAGCAGAAAAACTACACACAAAAAATTATGAGCCAAATATAAAGCAAACACGTGTGGCACAACTATGAGTAATTGGTGGTGACTAAATAAAGGTGATGTATTTGTGCTTAATGTATGAACATTCTTGTTTGGCCCAAGGGAAGTGACATTGGAAGCACACGGAAGAAAATGTAATTCTGGTCCTGTATACAATATCTCGAAGTTACAAAGGTAACCAATAGAGGAACTGAAAATAGTGATTTAAATATAAAAAAGCTAGGATTTGGAAGGGGGAGGTAGGGAGTATTTTAAGTAAACTAAGTCTGATAGAAAATTAGGGTATATTCAGGGATGTTGGTAACAACCAGAAGAACCTAGACAAATGACTGGTGGAGATTTCTCCTGAATAGGAAGACTGGGAGGATGGAGGAGTGAGTGGAGAGAAATGGGATGGCAGGTGGTGTTCCTTTTCATCAGAGTGCTTTTTATGAACCATTTGATTTTCTTTGTTCATTGGTAATTGAGATAGGTTAAGAATTTGTTGATTCCCAATAAACAGGTGTTTTCTGTTGTTGTTTTTTTTGTGTGTGTGTGAGGAAGACCAGCCCTGAGCTAACATCCAATGCCAATCCTCCTCTTTTTTGCTGAGGAAGACTGGCCCTGGGCTAACATCCGTGCCCATCTTCCTCTACTTTATATGGGATGCCGCCACAGCATGGCTTGCCAAGCGGTGCGTTGGTGCGCACCCGGGATCCGAACTGGCTAACCCCGGGCTGCTGCAGCGGAGCGCGCGCACCTAACCGCTTGTGCCACTGGGCTGGCCCCTGTTGTTTTAACTTTAGATAGATGCTAAGAGAGGTGGGGAAAGAATAGTTTGACCTCTACCATAGAATAACTTAAAGATCTCTTTGCCTTTAGTTTCTGTCCCCTCCTTTTTCAGAATGGTGAGAGAGGAGGAAATAGAATTTTTTTTCCTACTTTTTCATATTTTTCTGATATATCCAGTAAAAGCACCACTTTGATTATCTTGCTCTGTTGAAAAACTTAGAGTGGCTTGTCCAGACTCCAGCCTGAATTCCTTCCTGCTTCTCTCCCTAACCCATATGTTTGATTTTTGCCTCCTCAAACCTCCTGTCAGCATCTCTGCTCTTCCTGCAACCCGCAGAAGACCTCTCGGTCCTCCATCCTTTTTAAAATTTTCCTCCCCAAAGCCCCAGTGCATAGCTGCATATCCTAGTTGTAAGTCATTCTAGTTCTTCTATGTGAGCTGCCGCCGCAGCATGGCAACTGACAGACGGGTCGTGTGGTTCCATGACCGGGAAGCAAACCTGGGCCACCAAAGCGGTGAGCACCAAACTTTAACCACTAGGCTATCAGGGCTGGCTCTCCAACTTTTTTCTTTTTTTTTTTTTTTTAACCTTCCTTAAAGGTGCTGTATCTGGCCTCTTCCTGCATTCCCTGAGAGCTTGGAAGACCTTGGTGCCTGCCTGGGCTCTGGAGGAGGATGTGGATGTGCAGTGACTTGAGACTACACCACAGGAGTCAGGCAGAGGGTAGTGTTAGTGTATAGGACCTAGTACTGGACAGGCATTGTTCTAGGTGCTTGGGTATGGCAGAGAAGGAAATTGTTTTAAAAAATCTCTGCCCTCAAGGAGCTTCCATTCTGATGGAGTTTTACATAAACAGAAAGGTTACAAAAAGTAGTGTTATATATGTTTTGAGTGTAGCTAGAGACAGCAATCAGTAGCTCTGTCTTTGAAACATGCTGTTGGAGTCTGTGGCTTTGTCAGTAAGATGTGCTAACCTCTGAGGTGTCCTCAGGAGAAGAGGGGGTACCAGAATGGTATTGCCTAGACAGTAGTTGGTATTCCCTCTCCTTTGCTTCCTCCCAGTAGCAGTAGCTGGAAGAGACAAAGCATTGTTTGAAATCATTTTTAGACAAGATGGGCTTGTGGCTGCAAAAACATGGTAGGAGACTTGGCTTTTAGTCCTACTATGTGCGGTTCATCAGATATCAGCTCCTACCTGCATTTTTTTTGTTGTAGTTACTGGACATGACCTTGATTCATGGACATGGTGGTCATCTTGCCTATATGGTGTCCACCTGGAAAACTGTTAGACTTCTAAAAGGGATTGTAACCAGTGTTTTGTACTAAGTACTTCCCAGAGGATTTTCATTGAAATGCACCCTAAAAGATATGCTGGCTGGGATTTATTTCAGAATAATCTAGAAGGTAGGGGATAGTTGAGGTACAGATACAGTGGGCTTGGCCATGAGTTGATGTTGAAGCTGGGTGACGGGTACATGGGTTTCTTTATACTCTTCACTTTTGTAGATGCTTGGAATTTTTCATAATAAAAAGAAGTACCCTTATGGTCAAGGAATGATCGCTTTCATATTTTTGCTTTATTGTATTTTGCGTAAATAACCTTTTATTTAGTGAGGTCTTTGGGTTTTTTTGGTATTTATTTATTTATTTATTTATTTAGTGAGGAAGATTAGCCCCGAGCCAACATCTGTTGCCAGTCCTCCTCTTTTTGCTGAGGAACATTGGTCCTGGGCTAACATCCGTACCCATCTTCCTCTACTTTGTATGGGACATCTGCCACAGCATGGCTTGATAAGTGGTGCATAGGTCTGTGCCTGGGATCCGAACCTGCGAACCCTGGGCTGCTGAAGCAGAGCCCACGAACTTAACTGCTACACCACCAGGCCAGCCCCTTCGTATTGATTTTAATGATCAGAGACCATAACAGGACTGAATTAAGTTTAGACAGGAGAGAAATCTTCAAATTTGTGTTTATTAATCAGATTTTTTAAAGCTTGTATAATGTATGGGGGCTTCGATTACAAGTCAGCCCTCCCTCCCTGGAGACCTGTAAAGAAAAAGTGAAAAGAAACAGTTATGATCAGGTGCCAGAGAGCTGATTTTTTAGAGGCTGAGAGTATGTAGGTGTGAAGTATGGGAGAAGTGAAGGCCCACCACTAAGATCAGTGGTCCTCTGGGACCCTGCTACCACCACCACTGCTGATGATTTTGCCCCATTCTAGGCTGGTGTTGACCTACTCTTTTGTCTCTGTGCTTTGACCTTGTTTTCTTCCTCTTATCCCTTCAGTAGCTTCTCGCCTTACCCCCTAACCCCCAAGACCTGAAATCCATCTATCTTGATCTCCTTAGGCTAGTTTTCCTATATCATGTCCCTTTGTACCTCAGGCCCAGAAGCTGGCCCACAGTTCACTTCTTTCCTTCATCTCTGCTTTTTAGTGAATTGGCCGCTAGTGTATGTTAACAAATGTGATTGGACCACGAAGTGGCTTAACACAGGCTGAGGCATGGACACCCATTCGTGTAGCCTTAAAAGAGTTCAGGCAGTTGGCAAGTAAGAATTCTAAATAAAAATTGAAACTACCACCTGTATTTTTTCAGGCCGTTGATGCTCACTGCCATCAGCTGCATCCTCCCTATGGCACTGGTAAGTGTGGGAAGGGCTGGTGACAGTTTTGGTGGGCTGCTGGATTTCTTTTTCCTGGGGGAAAAATCTATTTGCAAGCTGTGTTATTAAGTTGTCCCTGCGGGTTGGACAGCTTGAACCAGCAATAGGAGACTAAAAAGATGAAGAAGCAACTGAACATGCTCATGGGTTTCCTTGGAGAACTGTTATCAGTGCCTTGATTTTTACATAAAATTAGCATGTACCATGCATTGTTTTGAATAATAAACATATGCTATCCAAGTGCTCTAGGATGTCTAGTAATAACTGTTAAATTTCCTGAAACTCTTAAAATGTTTCTCCCAAAGATAGATGTTGGCTGTGTATTAGAAAGGGTCCAGAATGTCGTATGTGCTTATTGTTTCCTTCACCATCAGGATTTATCTCCCTCTGGTATTTCAAGTTCTTTGTGGTCAGGAGATCAAGAAATGTTTGTTCCAATTATTAATATAAAATTCTGATAGGGACTTGCTTGAATATTTTTAGGGGGGAAGGGTTTGGTGGAAACCAGAAAAGAAATTTGTGGCTCTCATTTACTAACAAACTTTAGGTGGACTTGCGGACCTGTGATTGGAAAAATTATTTTACCACAGTCTGCTTTCTGCTTCGGGACCTAATCGAGAAAATACAATAAATTAGAACATAGAGCTGGTCAGCAAGTCACAGAATTGCTAAAGTATAAACCAATACCCAAATTGCTGCTGGAGTTGCGTTAGATAAGCTCCTGAAAGTCCGCAGACTGTCTCCTTGTAATGAGTGGGGCAGAGGCCACACAGTGATTGGGAAGTTTTATCTTATCAAGGTGGTCTGCATTCCAAGCTGTGATGTTTACCCTCTTTCGTTTCTCTAGTCTCTGAAGCCCTTAGATCATGGAAGAAAGTGCTTCCAGAATATCGAATGAGATGCTGAGGTTGTAGACTTGTGGGCTGTTAACCGTGTCAGGAACTGCTTGCTGGTAACAGTGGCTAAAGCATTCATATACACTTCATTACATCTCTGTGAGAAAATCTTAACATCATTGGCCCATATCCTGGATTTTCCCCTGGTCCTCACCCCCCAACCCCCAAACCCTACTGGTGAAGCAGGGATAGAATTGTGTGGCACATTTACCACGTTCTCTATAAAAAAAAACAAAACAGAAAAGAGAGCTTGACTCTCCAGCAGCTGTCTACTTCTTTGGGTATCTGTGCACAAGTGGTAACTACTAAACATGTTTTGAAGGCCTGTATCAGGGAAATATCTTTTAAGTGTCTGTCCCAAACACAGACTATAGAGGATGATAGATGTTTGCCTGTGACCTTTGGGAAATACTGATGACCAGTAGCAAAGTCCTTTTTGACATGCATATACCTAAGTGCTTCCTGAAATAAAGATCTGGAAACCATCTGAGGGTTGAGATTGTAAATGCAATGGCAAAACAAAGCCAAATTGGATTGGTAATGCAGAGCAGTGGCCAGGATAAGTGACAACAGAAGTGACCCCACAATCCTTTCAAGCTGGAGGGAAAGCTCTCCAGAGGCTTCTGATCCATTGTGGGTCAGGTTTGAGGACACAGGGAAAGAGAGAAAAAAGGCAGGGAAGATGGGCTGTACTTGGCCTCTACTCTAACCCCATCTTTGACTCTGTGAAAGGCTTCTCTGGACCACCCAGAGACTTAAGGGCATCCTTTAGTCTTTGATGAACATTACACCACTACAGTCATGTGCTGCATAATGATGTTTCAGTCAACGACAGTGGTCCCATAAAATTAGTACCATATAGCCTAGGTTTGTAGTAGGCTACACCATCTAGGTTTGTTAAGCTACTTTATGATGTTCACACAATGACATCGCCTAACGACACATTTCTCAGAATGTATGCCTGTCGTTAATGGATGCATAGCTGTACTTGCCCTCCCTTCTCCACCTTGATCAGTCACACTCCCTTCCCCAGCCCCAGGAAAAATGAGAGGGAAGTTCTTATCTTTGGGGCTTATGTTCACACTGACCAAGGCTTAGGCAGGAGTGTGATTGCTCAAAGACAGGCCAGGGAGTGAGAAGAAGGCAGGCCTGAGAACTATGCCTTATGGAATAGCAAGATTTAAGGAGCTGACAGACTTGTAGCAAAGCATCCAGTGGAACACTAAGATTTGGTCTGGGAGGTTGAGAGACAGCCAGAGAGTATTGTGAAGTTATCAGCATTGCAGACCCGCGTGGAAGTTATATCTATTTATGCTAAAATTCACACGTATAATCAGTTAACCTTTGGTCAAAAGTATGTTAAAACTCTGAAGGGGGGGGCCGGCCCCGTGGCGTAGCGGTTAAGTGCACGTGCTCCACTTCTGGCGGCCCAGGTTCGGATACCAGGCGCCACTGATGCACCACTTGTCAGGCCATGCTGTGGCGGCGTCCCAAATAAAGTGGAGGAAGATGGGCACGGATGTTAGCTCAGGGCCAGTCTTCCTCAGCAAAAAGAGGAGGATTGGCATGGATGTTAGCTCAGGGCTGATCTTCCTCACACACACACAAACACGCTAAATAAATAAATAAATAAATAAATTTAAAACTCTGAAGGGGAATTTTTCATTTTGAGGCGTAAGTAAAAGGTCAAAGTAAACTATTTGATGTAGTAAATGCAAAGGTCAACCCTTTGTTTATTGTAACATTTGTTTATGCAAGTGATTACCATTGAATTAAATTTGGCAAACTTTCCCTCCTTGACTTCTATTATGAAAATTTTAAAACATGCAAAGAAGTTTGAAGAATTGTACAGTGGGCATCCGTATACCTACCATGTAAATTACGCAATTGCTAACCTTTTGCTACATTTGCTTTATCATATTTTTATCCATCAATCAATTTTATGTTTATACAGCTTTATTGAAATATTTACATTCCATTGAATTCACCCATTTTAAAGTGTATCATTAGATAAATTTTAGTAAATTTATACAGCTGTGCAACCATCACCATGATCCAAGTTATAGAACATTTTCATCATCCAAAAAATTCCCTTGTGGCCATTTGTTGTCAGTCCCCACTCCCATGCCCAGGCAACTACTGATCATCTTTCTGTCTCTATAGTTTTGCCTTTTCTAGAAATTTCATATAAATGGGATCGTTCAGTATGTAGTCCTTTGTGTCTGGCTTTTTTCACTTAGCATAATGTTTTTGAGGTTCATCCATGTTGTATCACATGTCAGTAGTGCTTTCTTTTTTATTGCTGAATAATGATTTTCCTTTGTATGGATATACCACATTTTGTTTACCCATTCATCAGTTGATGGACATTTGGGTTGTTTGTGGTTTTTGGCTATTATGAAATATGCTGCTATGAACATTTATGTCCAGGACTTTATATGGACATATGTTTTCATTTCTCTTGGATAGGTATCTAGGAGAAGTGGGAATGCTAGGTCATATGTAAGTGTATATTTAACATTTTAAGAAACTGCCAAACTGTTTTCTGAGGTGACTACTATTTTAACATTCCCACCAGCATTATAGAAGAGTTCCAGTTTCTCCACATCCTTGCTAGCACTTGATTGTCAGTCTTTTGGATTGTAATCATTCTAGTGGGTGTAAAGTGGTTTCTTGTGGTTTTAATTTGCACTTCCCTAATGACTAATGATGTTGAGAATATTTTCTTGTGCTTATTTGCTAGTCGTACTTTTTTTTGGTGAAGTGTCCAAATCTTTTGCCTATTTTTAAAAATTGGGTTGTTTTGTTTTATTATTGAGTTGCATGAGTTCTTTGTATATTCTGAGTTAACTCCCTTATCAGATATGTGATTTGCAATTGTTTTTTCCCAGTCTGTGGCTTGTCTCTTCTGTTTTCTTAATGTCTTTGAAGAGTAAAAGTTTAATTTTGATGAAGTCCAACTTATCAGTTTTTTTCTTTTAAGGGTTGTGCTTTCATTGTCATATCTAAGGAATCTTTGCCTAAATCAAGTTTGCAAAGATTTTCTTCTAGAAATTTTATAGTTTTCAGTTTTACATTTAAAGCTGTGAACAATTTTGAGTTAATTTTCATATGGCGTGAAGTAAGCATCTAAGTTCTGTATTTTGTGGTTTTTTTTGTATAATGACGTTAAGTTATTCCAGAACCATTTGTTGAAAAGACTGTCCTTTCCTCCATTGAATTACTTTGGCACCCTTGTTTAAAATGAACCATAGGGCCGGCCCAGTGGCTTAGCGGTTAAGTGCGTGTGCTCCGCTGCTGGCGGCCCGGGTTCGGATCCCAGGTGCGCGCCGACGCACCGCTTCTCTGGCCACGCTGGGGCCGAGTCCCACATACAGCAACTTAGAAGGATGTGCAGCTATGACATACAGCTATCTGCTGGGGCTTTGGGGGGAAAATAAATAAATAAAATCTTTAAAAAATAATAAAAATAAAAATAAAATGAACCATAAATGTATGAGTTTACTTCTGGACTCTGTTCTGTTTCATTGATCTATATGTCTGTCCTTAAGCCAGTACCTCACTGTCTTTTTTTTTTTTTTTTTTTCCCCCAAAGCCCCAGTAGATAGTTGTATGTCATAGCTGCACATCCTTCTAGTTGCTGTATGTGGGACACGGCCTGAGCATGGCTGGAGAAGCGGTGTGTCAGTGCGCGCCTGGGATCCGAACCCGGGCCGCCAGCAGCGAAGCGCGCACACTGAACCGCTAAGCCACGGGGCCGGCCATATATTTTTTTTGTGTGTGTGAGGAAGATCAGCCCTGAGCTAACATCCATGCCAATCCTCCTCTTTTTTTGCTGAGGAGGACTGGCCCTGGACTAACAACCGTGCCTATCTTCCTTCACTTTATATGGGACGCTGCCACAGCATGGCCTGACAGGCGGTGCATCAGTGTGCGCCTGGGATCCGAACCCGGGCCGCCAACAGCAGAGCACACACACTTAACCGCTACACCATGGGGCAGGCCCCCTCACTGTCTTGATTACTGTAGCTTTATAGTAAGTCTTGAAGTCAGATGGTATCAAGTCCTCCAACTTTGCTCTTC